GAGTAACGTGAGTATACCAACTCAGTAAGTAACAACAATAAATAAAGACTGAGTAGTAGTGACGAGCAATAAAGCATATAACATTCATATAAGGAAATCTCAGTAAAATACCACATGCTCTTAAAAATCAGGATTTAAATCAAATATCTCGTTTAAACCCAGTTCCAGTAAAAATTATTTAAAGACATTTTTCCAACAGTTTTTCAAACAAAGGCTCAATGCAAAGGTGAGAAAAAATGATGAAATCATAAACAGCCCCTCGGCCAAAAACATCACTCATATACAGCCCCTCGTGCAAACCTCACAGTCACTCGTGCCACTCGGGCATACCTCACAATCACTCTTGCCTCCCAGTCACTCAGCACTCAGAACTCGGCACTCACACTCAGTAGGTACCTGCGCTCACTGGGGGTGTGCACAGACTCCGGAGGGGCTCCTTTAGCCCAAGCGCTATAATCTGCATGGACAACTCACGTGCAATAATAATAAAGTATGTTGCAGGCGGGCAACCCCGATCCACACTCATCCTCACAAATCAGGCCCTCGGCCTCACTGAGTCCTAAAGTATGCTGCAGGAGGGTAGCCCCGATCCACACTCATCCTCACAAATCAAGCCACTCGGGCATTTCAGTAAAACAGGGCATTCGGCCCAAAACATTTATATGCATCAAAATAGAGTCATAAAACTGAGTTATGCGGTAAACAAGTATAAACATGACTGAGAATAGAATTTTCAATCAAAAACAGTGAGAGGATGGTAAGAAACAGCCCCTAAGGGTCCAAACAGCATTGGCGCAAGGCCCAAACATGGCATTCAGCCCAATTTACAAAACATCTTTCCAAAATATATAAGTATCAATGGTTTCAACAAAGTATGCAACTTTACAGTTGCTACGGGGCGGACCAAGTCACAAATCCCCAACAGTGCATGCCCACATGCCCATTACCTAGCATGTGCGTCACTAAAAATAGTAGAATGATACAAAAATCCAGGGTTTCATACCCTCAGGACTAGATTTACAATCGTTACTTACCTCAAAACGTGAAACGTTTTATTCTGCTATGCCTTTTCCTCGTGAATTGGTCTCCAAACGCCTCGAATCTGGTCATAAATAATTCATTTCAGTCAATAAAATTTATTGGAATTAATTCCACAAGATAATAATGGTTTTTCCATAAATATCGGAATATTAGTTCAAAAATTGCCTGTGGGGCCCACATCTCGAAACTCGACAAAAGTTACAAAATCCGAAAGCCTGTTCAATCACGAGTCTACCCATTCCAATTTTACCAAAATCTGACCTCAACTCGACCATCAAATCTACAAATCTTATTTCCAAATGTTTAAGTTCCAATCTCCGATTTACACCTCAAAATCATGTAATCTAGTCGGATTATTCGATGATAATTCAATATTATGGAGTAGAAATAATCACAAGGGACTTATCTCAAGTTTTCCTTAAAAATATATCAAAAATCGCCTCTCCTCAAGTTCCAATTTGTCAAAAATGGCAAATGGGACGAAGTCCCTGTTTTTATAATTCTGCCCAAACATCCTAGGTTCTGCCTCGATCTTGGCCCTCGACTCTGGGCTCGATCATGCCTTCGACCGTGGCCCTCGACCCTGAGCTCGAACTGGGCCTCGGTCATGGCCCTCGACCCTGAGCTCGATCTGGGCTCACATCTGGGCTCGATTTCTGGGCAGAAGCAATTTCCAACAGAAGGAAATTGCAGCAGTTATTCTAGTTCAATTTTTGATCCGTTAACCATCTGAAACTCACCCGAGGCCCTCGGGACCTCAGCCAAATATACCAACAAGTCCTAAAATATCATAGGAACTTAGTCGAATCCTCAAATCACCTCAAACAATGCTAAAATCATGAATTACACCCCAATTTAAGCTTAATGAACTTTGAAATTTCTAATTTCTACAAACAACTTCGGAACCTATCAAATCACGTCCGATTGGCCTCAAATTTTGCGCACCAGTCCTAAATGACATAACAGAGGTATTTCAATTTGCAGAATCGGATTTCGACCCCGATATCAAAAAGTCAACCCCCGGTCAAACTTCTCAAAAATAAAACTTTCGGCATTTCAAGCTTAATTCCTCTACGGACTTCCAAATATAATTTCGGACACGATCCTAAGCCCAAAATTACCATACGGAGCTGTTGCAATCATAAAAATTAAAATCCGAGGTCATTTACACATAGGTCCATATCCGATCCACTTTCTAACTCAAATTTTTAATTATGAGACTAAGTGTCTCATTTCACTCCGAGTTCCTTCCGGACTCGAACCCACTATCCCGATATAACATAATATAACTGAAAACACAAAAAGAAGTAGGAATATTATAACTCTCGAAACGACCGGTCGGGTCGTTACACATACATACATACATATATATACATACATACATACATACAAAATATGGTGTGACTCAAAAAACTGGAACACCATATCATGCTCAAACACAAGGGAAAGTTGAAGTTTCCGACCGCGAGTTAAAAAGAATTCTTGAAAAGACGGTTAGAATTTCAACAAAATACTGATCTTTAAAATGAGATGATGCATTATGGGCATACCGAACGACGTTCAAAATGCCAATTGGAACATCCCCATATAAATTAATCTTTGGAAAGGCTTGACATTTGCCAGTTGAATTATAACACAAAGCTTTTTGGGCACTGAAAGCATTAAACTTTGAATTAACCTCTACTGGTAAAAAGAGATTTTTTCAGGTTAATGAATTGGAAGAAGTGAGGTTGGAAGCTTATGAAGATGCCAGAATTTTCAAAGAAAAAATAAAAATATGGCATGGAAATTTGATCCGACAAAAACGTTTTAAAATTGGAGATCGTGTACTTCTTTACAATAGTCGACTCACACTATACCCGGAAAAATTAAAATTCAGGTGGACAGGTTCTTATAATGTTACACGTGTTACTTCCTATGGAGCAATCGAAATTCAACAGAATAGTGGAGGAAACAAATTAAAGATAAATGGCCAGAGACTCAAATTGTACTTTGGATGACATTTTGAGCAGTATCCATCAGTCACTCTGATAGACTGATGAATTTCATATTCAATAAGTCTAGCTGACGACGTTAAACTCAGAACTATGGTACATACCCGTAGCCATTGAGGGAGAAGCAATGGAGATTTATATATCCAATATAGATTTGAGTAATTAAGTTCTTAACTAATTGATATGGTTAATATCCAGATTATTGTACAATCGAAACATATCATGAAGGCCTCTACAAAAACAGAGACATCTACGCAGGAGCAACTCCTTGGTGATCGGTATGCCTAAGTGACCGGTTAGTTAATCATTTAATGATGCAATTCAAATTGAGGAGCATGTAAATTTTGGTTTATATTCAAACTCGGACCATATGACTGTTGATGTGTTAAATTAATCAAGTCTATTACACATAAAACATGTGTGGTTACAGTTTCTTTCAAGCTTTTATCTATGATTGTAAATGTGAAAGCCAAAAGCGCATATATATTTTTACTTATAGAATAATTTAATCTCTCTTTTTATATACATACATACATATACATACGTACATATATATATAGATACATACATATATATACATACATACATACATACAAAATATGGTGTGACTCACAAAACTGGAACACCATATCATGCTCAAACACAAGGGCAAGTTGAAGTTTCCAACCGCGAGTTAAAAAGAATTCTTGAAAAGACGGTTGGAATTTCAAGAAAATACTGGTCTTTAAAATGAGATGATGCATTATGGGCATACCGAACGGCGTTCAAAATGCCAATTGGAACATCCTCATATAAATTAGTCTTTGGAAAGGCTTGACATTTGTCAGTTGAATTATAACACAAAGTTTTTTGGGCACTGAAAGCATTAAACTTTGAATTAACCCCTGCTGGTAAAAAGAGATTTTTTCAGGTTAATGAATTGGAAGAACTGAGGTTGGAAGCTTATGAAGATGCCAGAATTTTCAAAGAAAAAACAAAAATATGGCATGGCAATTTGATCCGACAAAAAGGTTTTAAAATTGGAGATCGTGTACTTCTTTACAATAGTCGACTCACGCTATACCCGGAAAAATTAAAATCCAAGTGGACAGGTCCTTACAATGTTAGAGGTGTTACTTCCTATGGAGCAATCGAAATTCAACAGAACAGTGGAGGAGACAAATTTAAGGTAAATGGTGAGAGACTCAAATTGTACTTTGGAGGATATTTTGAGCAGCATCCATCTGTCACTCTGATAGACTGATGAATTTCATGTTCAATAAGTCTAGCTGACGATGTTAAACTCAGAACTATGGTACATACCCGTAGCCATTGAGGGAGAAGCAATGGAGCCTTATAAATCCAATATAAATATGAGTAATTAAGTGCTTAACTAATTGATCTGGTTAATATCCAGATTATTGTTCAATCGGAATATATCATGAAGGCCTCTACAAAAAGAGAGTCATCTACACAGGAGCAATACCTTGGTGATCGGTATGCCTAAGTGACCGGTTAGTTAACCATTTAATGATGCAATTCAAATGGAGGCACAGGTAAATTTTGGTTTATATTTAAACCCGGACCCTATGACTGTTAAGGTGTTAAATTAGTCCAGTCTGTTACACATAGAACATTTGTGGTCACAGTTTCTTTCAAGCTTTCTTCTGTGATTGTAAATGTGAAAGCCAAAAACATATATATATTTTTACTTATAGAATAATTTAATCTCTCTTTTTATATACATACATACATATACATACATACATATACATAGATACATACATATATATACATACATACATACATACAAAATATGGTGTGACTCACAAAACTGGAACACCATATCATGCTCAAACACGAGGGCAAGTTGAAGTTTCCAACCGCGAGTTAAAAAGAATTCTTGAAAAGACGGTTGGAATTTCAAAAAAATACTGGTCTTTAAAATGAGATGATGCATTATGGGCATACCGAACGGCGTTCAAAATGTCAATTGGAACATTCCCATATAAATTAGTCTTTGGAAAGGCTTGCCATTTGCCAGTTGAATTAGAACACAAAGCTTTTTGGGCACTGAAAGTATTAAACTTTGAATTAACCTCTGCTGGTAAAAAGAGATTTTTTCAGGTTAATGAAATGGAAGAGCTGAGGTTGGAAGCTTATGAAAATGCCAGAATTTTCAAAGAAAAAACTCAAATATGGCATGGCAATTTGATCCGACAAAAGAGTTTTAAAATAGGAGATCGTGTACTTCTCTACAATAGTCGACTCACGCTATTCCCAAGAAAATTAAAATCCAGGTGGACAGGTCCTTACAATGTTACAGGTGTTACTTCCTATGGAGCAATTGAAATTCAACAGAACAGTGGAGGAAACAAATTTAAGGTAAATGGTCAGAGACTCAAATTGTACTTTGGAGGACATTTTGAGCAGCATCCATCAGTCACTCTGATAGACTGATGAATTACATACTCAATAAGTCTAGCGGACGACGTTAAACTCAGAACTATGGTACATACCCGTAGCCATTGAGGGAGAAGCAATGGAGCCTTATAAATCCAATATAGATTTGAGTAATTAAGTGCTTCACTAATTGATCTTGTTAATATCCAGATTATTGTACAATCGGAACATATCATGAAAGCCTCTACAAAAACAGAGTCATCTACATAGGAGCAACTCCTTGGTGATCGGTATGCCTAAGTGACTGGTTAGATAACCATTTAATGATGCAATTCAAATGGAGGCACAGGTAAATTTTGGTTTATATTTAAATCCGGTCCCTATGACTATTATGGTGTTATATTAGTCCCGTCCGTTACACATAGAACATGTGTAGTCATAGTTTCTTTCAAGCTTTCTTATGTGATTGTAAATATGAAAGCCAAAAACATA